TCAGTGTCAACTATTTTTAAACTGAGAAAATCTGACTCACAGAAAGATTAAAACACTTGTCTAGTATCACATATTTAGTAAGAGATAGAATCAGAATTCAATCCCAAACAAGATGGCTTCAATATCTTCTAGGAAGAATCTGGGATAAATCATTGGATTCTAATTAGATGAAACAGATGTGTTCTTTCTCCTTCTTCCTGCCTCTAAACATGGCTGGCTGATGTCACCACAGCCATCTAGAGACCATGATGTGATGTAAAAGAAAAGAAAACCACTGTGACAGCAGCTCTTTCGTGAGTCTACTTAACCAGCAGCTGCAGCTGCAATTACTTCCCTCTGGGGAAGCGAGAAAAGTAAGACCCACCACAGTCACATCTGTCCCCACAATGCACAGCCATAGTCAAAGAGCAGAAACCTGTGGGCAACAAGAATCTGTCAATCACTGGGTGCTTGACAGGAACGAGGTCTTATTTTGTATTATGTGTATTACTTATTTCAACGTCATTACATGTCTGTGAATTCCTGTTTTGTAGATAGAAAATTACCCCAGTTCCATTCTGCCCAAGTTCACACAGCTTATCCGGGTTCAAATTCAGACAGCACCCTGCCTCCTAAACTGTCTTCGGCAAACAGCATTCTGAGAGCCAGACACTTAAGCAATTTCATTTAAAATGAGAAATTAAATATGGATTCTTACTACTTTTAATATTCTGGATACTATTTAATGTGGTTGGAGCTTCTAGAACAGATGTTTCTCATCAGGGGCACCGTGAACACTTTGGGAGGACACAACTTCACTGTGCAGGATTGCTGGGTATGAAAGTCATTTTCCATCTTGGTCCCTGGGTCCCATTAGAACCACTAAGTAGTCCTCACCAGCTACAAGTATCTTTCCAGAACTCAGACTGTCAAAACTTCTTTGTGAAAAGTCCAAATAGTAAGAATTCCAGGGCTTGTGGGATGGGCCATCGTGGTGGTCTGTGTCACAGCTGCTGAGCTCTGCTGTGTGGGATTAGTCATGGAGGACACAGATAGACGTGCACGTGACTGGACTCCCCTCAAACTCTTCTGGTACTGTTTTACAGATAAAACAGTGAGACAGAGAGGTTCAGAAACTCTCCTGAGAAGACTCAACTAGCAAGCAATAGTCTCCAAAGTCAGAGCGATCTCTGGGTTTAGGCTCATATCTGAGACACAAATGATTCTACAGGGTTTAGTTGATTTTCTTCTGTCAAAGGCTAACTATGTCTGAGAAACTTCTTAAACCCAAGACCATGATCCTCTTCATCTGTCTGGTGCCAATTTCTCTTTTCTACCTAAAGATCCTACAGAACTTGCATCTTTGGCAACCTGGACTGATTGACCTTTGTCACGATTAACCATGTCCCCAAGCACAACTCTCCCTGTTGGCTCTGACACACAGAAGTCCTCCCCAATGCAAGATTCCTCAAAATGAGTCTCTAAAACAGCTAGTCACTTATGTGTGACTTTTATTTACCATGTCTTAACTGTTCATAGGAGCCATAAACTAGCGATTGACCATTAAAGTGAAAGGAATATAAAATACTGAGCCCAGGGTCTGATATTTAGATAGCTGATGTTAGGATGTTTGGAGTGGCAAGCAGACACAGTAACTGGTCCTGCTGTAACTATATGAAGGTAGGAGGATTGTGCGTAGGCTTAGGCCACCCAAGTCAATCAGAATGGAGCTGTTTGATGCACAGGTTTTGACTACTGACACTGTGGAATAGCTCAGCAAAGGTTTTATATGAGTAGCTACTGTATTGGATAGAAAAAGGGCCTATGGTCAAAGATGCCTGAAATTCTCTATTTCACTCCCCCCAGGAGATATATGAATGGAACCTCTTCTAGAATGTTGTGGTACTTATGTAGATCAGTAGGGTCTTATGGAATTCTACTGCTCATCAGTATATAAGGCACAGAAAAGTGGGGACAATGTTGAATGTCTTAAACAATAGTAGGCATGTAGGGGGGTTAGCAGTAACACAAGAGGCAGGCTACCAAGTCAGGATGAACAGAAATAGATTCACCATGTATTTACTATAAAGCCTTTCGGTGAGGGTTAGAATACACTGGTTTGATAGCTTCTGATTTCTGTTGGGAAATGCTTCTATCATAGATACTTACTCTATTAGGAGAAACTACAGATAAATATCTGGGATGTATTGTACATTGGTATTTGGTAGATTTGTTTCTCTCCTGATAATTCTTTTAACAAAAAGATTTGATTTTACATTGTATTAGCAGATAGAGATAAGCTCCTCTTAGCAGGTTATGAGTATGAAATGTAGCATGCTTATGACAAACATTTCAAGTATTTTTGTTTAACAAGAATAAAATAATTAGGAAAATGTAACCTATAGCTATTTTTACCATTTGTCATTATTTCTTCCTCATATAAAATGATTTCTTATTAATAAACACAAAGGTATGAGATGGTTGTGGTAGGTAAATAATTTTGTCTAATGTCATTAATTACTAACAGCTCAATTATACTGTGAAGTGCCATAGTTGTCATGAAGCTTAAGAATTGTTATAATGGACTCCATAATTCATTTAAATCACATTAATTATACAGATTCTTAATGAAGAAAAGAGACTGCTCTTAATCCTCACAAGTAGAGACAATGATCAAAATATTTATGTGTGCATTTCACATTTTGTTCTGTTGACATTCTTGAAGTTCTTCATTTACTCAGCAGTATTAGCACCTTTATAAGCAAGGAGGAGGGATAGGCAAACATGTTTGGATTGCACATAAAAGTATTTGGTCCTTAGTTTTTATTTTTAATATCTAACAAGTCAAGAAATATTTTTCAGAAAATAAAGTGTTTGAAACTTTTTTTGTACTTGGAATGAAACCCAAGTTCTTTTATATGCTTGGCAAGTGGCCATGACTGAGCTGAGCTGCTAGCCCCAGGTGCCAGGAGTTTTCTTATTGCATTGTGTGTGAGAGTGTGTGTGTGCGTGTCTGTGTGTATGTGAGGGTATGTGTGTATGTGAGGGTGTGTGTGTGAGGGTGTGTATGTGTGTGCATATCTGTGTGTGTGTGGGTTGTGTGTGTCTGTATGTGTGTGTCTGTGTGTGTCTGTGTGTGTGATGTGTGAGTGTGTGTGTATGAGGGTATCTGAGGGTATGTATGCAAGGGTGTGTATGTGAGGGTGTGTGTGTCTGTGTGTGCGTGTGTGTGTGAGGGTATGTGTAGTATCGCATGGCATGTGTGGAGGTCAGAGGAACATTCAGGAGTCAGTTTGCTCCTACCATGTAAGCCCTACGGAGGGAACTCAGTTTGTCAGGCTTGGTGGGAAGTGCCTTTATCCATAGAGCCATGTCACCTACGCATGCCCAGCTATGTTGACGATTAATTGGTGGTATTATAAAATTGTCTTAATATCATAGACATGCTTGACATACCATATGTCAACCCAGTTTCTATAGTTCACATCTAAAATGACTTGGGCAAGGTATCCTGACCATCGGAAGCCAGGTAGTGGCCACAGCTCTATTCCTGTGAGGGATGGTTTTTCTGCAGGAATGTAGCAGCTCTGCTCCTGTTCTGGTGAACATTGTTACTTCTGTGCTCCACTCTGGTGAGAGAGGGTCATCACCCAAACCTCATTCAAGAGATGTGTCGGGAGAAGGAATTCAGGAGAGTGGATGCCTTGCTAGGGCTGAAAAAGGCAGCAGGAAACTGAACAGTCACAGGGCTTATATAGGGCTTCTTAGGGGTAGAGTTTTTCCAGGATGAAGATTTTCAGGGTTGGAATTGGTTGGATTTCAATTCCTGAGCTGGGAAAGTTCAGAGATTGACTGAATTTCATGCTCAGGGATTTGTTGGATTTGTACTCAAGGATTGGTTGATTTTCCTGCTTAATTGGTTGGGGCAGAGTGTTTCTTTGACTCTGGTTTCAGGGACAGGGTGTGTTTCTTTCACTGACCCTTTTACCCTACATAGTAGTAAATTTATTTCTTCTTCAAGTTATTTTAAAATTCACATAGATGGTAATCTAATTCCAACCATGAGGGATTAGGCAGAGACCTAGAAGGTGAGAAAAGGCTTAGGCAAAGGGAGAAGAAGGAATGTAAATGACCACCGGGTGTAGTGTCTCCAAAGTCCCCTCTCTCTGTGAGCTCCCCTGCTTCTGGCCAGTGAAGAGTTACTGTGCCCTGCACTCCTGTGCTGTGTGCGGCTGTTTGTGACTGGAGGCTGTGACCCTGACAGCACTGGAGGACAGCGTTCAGTGAGGAGATGCTGGCCCATTGCCTTTGACAGCGTGTCTGCCAGGATGTATCAGCACTGGGGTTCGCATCCCCTTTAAAGTAATGGAATGTAGCTCAACCACTGGTAGAAAAACTAAAGGAGAACACAAAAGGGGGTAGATTAAAGAAGATTCCCTTCCTTTTGGAATTCCAAATGCAGTGTGCCCCGGCAAGTCGGGAGCTGCTGTGTGTTAGCATTCAAAGAAAAAACCAGTAAGCATGATTAGGTTGTTATATTTATTTTGTAATGTTACGTATTTATATAGGCTCTTATATTTTGTCTATAGTGCCTAATTGTCCAGGATTAGAAAGAATTCAAATGAATGTTTTATAGAAACTTGTTAATCTTTGTTATCTTGGGGATTAACTTGATTATTCCCAGTCTAGGGTGTGCCAATTCAGTTAGTCTTCTTACTACAAACCTCCCTGTGATTTGTAGCCATTTATACATTCTAAACTGAAGGAAATATATTATATGCAGTTTTAAATCTGGAAAATACAGAAACTTCATTTGACACAATACTTTAAAATGTGATATTCGCTGGTTATTTTCCTCTCCCAGTGAAGCGCCAATGAACTGTTGCCCAAGAGGCAGTCAGCAGAGGATAATCAAGAAAACTGACACTTCAATAAACCAGTGACTGTATATCCAGGCCTTGAATGAATGATTATTGGTTAAAAGTTATAAAAATACTGATTTTATTTTATTTTTATTGTAGGTGGGAAATGATGAAAGATGAAACTCTGGAAGAGAAAGGAAAAATGATGCTGGAACACTTAAAACAAATTTACAGCATACAGGACTCTTCTCTGTTAGATAGCACAGACAAACCGTAATCTGCAGAAAACGGCAACAGCTTTATTTTAGGAAACAGCCTCGTGTGATGGAGGCTTTCACCACAGTCAGAGGAATCTCACACAAGCCACAGAGTGCAGCCATCACTACAGAGTTGCTGTACCGAAAAGGGACACAGAACATGGAAAATAAGAGGCTCCATAGTTTTTATTTTAAAGATAATCTCAAGTGTTTTTCTTTCCCAGCCTTTCTCCTTATGTGATAAAATGATAAAGCTACTGCCATCTCGTGTTCCCTTTGAATTGTGTTTGTTGTTTTCTTCCCTTCAGTACTGAAGTATCTATGACAACAGGAAAAATGTTTGAAAATATTTTCTCTAGGGACTCCTTATACAATATTTGGATGCTAAGTTGATTGGAGCCCCTCTCCTACCCTGGAAGTCATCTGGAATGTACAATTTGATTGGGTAGCTGTAGCCCAAGAACAGATCTTAACTGTCTTCAATACTTCTGGTGGGACCCATTCTTCTTCCCACGCAGCCCCTTCCTCTTCCACTTTATCTAAGTCATAGCATCAAGAGCGCAGTCCCCCTAACTTGGGGCTTATGGTTGCCTGTGATGGTCGTTTCTCTCCTCCTAAATCTCACCCCACTCACATGCTTTCGCCTCCTGTACCAAGTGACTCCAGTTCAGGAAACTCATGACATCCATTTGACCCAAGCCAAAGTGGCAATTTTTTTCCAACCAGATACCATCTTTATTTCAAAGTAATATTCAAAAATCATCCTTCACTATCTACAATGCCTATTGTTTGCTTGTTTGTTTTACTCTTTTGTGGAGGGCCGACCACCCAGCTCCCAAATAAATACATGAAGGCCTTTTCTTACTTATGAGTGCCCGGCCTTAGCTTGGCTTGTTTCTATCCTGCTTTTCTTAAATTATCCCATCCACCTTTTGCCTTGGGCTTTTTCCTTTTCTTCTGTAATCTTACTTTCACTCTTACTCCGTGGCTGGCTATATGACTAGGTGACTGATAACTTCTTCTCCTTGATGTCCCTTGTTTTTTTATCGCTATTTTTCTCCTTCTATTTATTCTCTCTGCCAGCCAGCCCTTTCTACTCTTTGCCCTTGCTGTTGGCTGTTCAGTTTGTACTGGACCAGTAAGGTGCCTTAACCTGGCAAAGTAGCACAGCTTCACAGAGTTAAACAAGTGCAACAGAAAGGAATGCAGCCCATCTTTGCATCACTAAGCAAATGTTTCACAGCACAAATACATGTAATTCACAGCATAAACAAATGTAACACATCCTAAAACAATATTCTGCAACAAATGCCTATTTTTCTTATTTCCATTGCACTTACACACACAAAGAAAGAGACAGAGATAGACACACACACAGAGAGAGAGAGAGTACAATTATATATATTTAGTGTGTCCTTCATATCAGTGCCTGCTATTAGATTATGAAGACCTTGAAAGTCTTAAATACGATATGAACTTTCCATTTGTAAACCAGAATGTGCCTGGACTATTCAGTGTGGGTACAGTTAACAAACACAGCTGATTAAGTAACTACCATTGGCAGAAGACACACTGTTGACAAAGCATCCTAGAAGACAAATGGGAGACGGCTCATGGCCGACCATGGATCCCCTGACATCAAACACCATGTCTTCTGAAGTCACAAATGTAGTAAACTGTGTGTGCTCCCACATTCTGTGGCTTTCATGAAATGTTTATAGCTGCATGATTTCCTAAGGAGAGTACTCTCATATTTTCTCAAAGAAGTGTAGAGTTAAAAGGAGGTTACTGGGCAGGAAGTCTTATATTTTCACTTTCAATAAAATGAGCAACCATGTACCCAGACCCCTCCCAAATAAAACATTTCAAATTTAAAAAAAATAGGCCATGAACTTGAAAGGAAGCAAGGAGGAATATACATAGTAGGGCTTGGGTGGGAGAAAAGAAAGGATATGTAGCTGGACAGAATCTCGATTTACTAGGGGCAAATGATGTTCTTTAGTTGGCCTGGATAATGTGAAGCAAGTATTTTAAAATATGTCTCAAGTAGTTTTTTTAATTCTATGGAAATCGTTTAAAAATTAGACAGTTTTACAAAAAAAATGAACATTTAATCTTACTTTTAAGTAGTAAAAGGAAAACTCAGTATAAAACAACAGTTGATTGCTCCTCCAGCTATCTGATAGGATTATACATTAGTCTATGCAAGTATAGTATGGCAGAGAATAACTGAAAAGCCAAAATAAAAATAAATTGACGCATATAAAAATGTTGCAGCAGTTCACATGGCAGTTGTCTCTGTTAAGGTGACCATTTGAAGCTGTTTTCCTCCATCCAAAAATAATATTCTGTGTCTGTCATTTGAAAGAGAAAATGAGATGAGAAAACTACAGCTGAATTCCCTTCTGTGCTTGATCATTGAAATTGCTATGTGATAAATTGTGAATGGTCTATAATTGGGAATGTTAAGTTATGTGATTGATCTGTCAGATAATTTTGACTTTCAATGTTTTAAGGAATATGATAAGTAGTATTTCGAAGCAGTTGTTCCTCACATTCGGTTTTGCATTTGTATGAGTTGACAAGAGGATTGAAGCCTAACAGTTTGTAACTCTTCAGATGCCTGTGACAAAAGTAGAGTCTCCTGTGTTCTGTGCAATTGTTTTTTTTAATATATATAATATAGACTTTTCTATTTTATTATTGTTTCAGCAGTTTCTCTTTAGAAATAGTATGACTTAGATTTTAATTATGTCTATTTCAGATACTGTGTATTTATTGTCTCTACAAAATTCTTGTAAGAGTACCAACTAAAGAATAGGAAAAGTTTGTTTTTCTCTACTAACATGTGCTCACTCATAGCCTAATGTTTTCCAAGACCAAAAGATTGTTCAGGTAGGTTGTCATTGTCCTTTCTTTCTTTATCCTTGGACAATTTTATAATAGAAAATAGCCTTTAGAAAGGAAGAAAAATTATGCCACATATAACATTATAGATAAATGCAAGGAAAATATGCTACAGGCACAAATTCAGTAAGACAGGAACTTAGATAACTCCATGGAACTGGAGAGATGTCTAAGTGGTTAAGAGCACTTGATGCTCTTACAGAGGAACAGACTTCAACCCCTAACACCTAGATTTCAGGCTGAAATCCTCTGTAACGCCAGTCCCAGGGGATCTGATGCTCTCTTCTTGCCTCTGTGGACACTGAATGCATGTTTTACACATACATACCTGGAAAACATCCATACATAAAAATGATTTTTAAAAATTAAAACATAATGCTGTGTGATTCCACTTACATGAATTTTCTAGAATAGTCAGATTCATATAAAAGAGTAGTGGTTTCTAAGGACAGGGAAAGGAGAAAGGGAGTTTGTTTGAAGAGTTTCAGACTGGATAAGTTGAAGCAGTTTTGTAGTCATTGCAACAATGAATATAGTTAATACAACTGAATCTATTCAAACTGGTTAGTATAAATTTAATATTAGATTATTACCACTGTTTAAACAGAATCTGCAATATCTGTTGACAATCCTTCTTAACATGATACATAAGAGATCTGGAATTTGAGCAGAAACTGTAAAAATAGTATTTTTCAGCATTATTCTACACAGTAAGTGAAAAGATGTGTTTTATCTGTGAGAAATGCATTCAACGGCACTATCATAGTTATTGAATGGCATAGATCCTGAAACCCCAAAGTCTATCCCCAGGGACACACCTCCTCCAAAAAGGCCACATCTCCTAATCCTTCCTAAATAGCCCTTCAACTAGGGACAAACCATTTATATGTGTGAGCCCATGGGGACCCATCTCATTCAAACCACCACAGGCACCATTAGTAAAATAGCAAAGTTTCTTCAAGGATCCAAAGAGCCTAAACACTCTAAGTATCCACCAAGCAAAAATGGCGTTATACATCTATAAGCCAAACACCCCACTGGCTGAAGCAGAAAGAGTTCAAGGACATTATGGAATACACAATAAGATGTTTCTTTAAAAGAAGTGCCTGTGCCGGGCAAGGGTGCTTGCCTTGCTGTCAAACTTGACAGCTTTGCATTTGATCCCTGTACTGTGCACAGTGGACGGAGAAAACCAAGTCCTGTAAGTTGTCCTCTGACTCCACCTGCCCGCTGCCGCACACACATAGGTACACAAACACTTGAAAATAAATGCATGTAAAAAATGAACAAAACAAAACATAAATATTATAACAAACAATGATTGCTTTCAGGAATAAAAATCTGCATTAGTTCCTTATTGCTGTAATCAATACTAGAATTTAGTCAATTACAACAACATATCTATTATGTCAAAGTCACTGCTGGTCAACTACCTGAGCACGTTTATATGGGCTTTTACCTGTGCTATTAGAAGGCTGCAATGAAGGTTCGCCGAGGCTTCACTGTGGAAGAATCCACTTCCAAGGTCGTGTGGCTGTTGGCAATACTCATCGCTTTGCAGGCTGCTAGACAGATGGCGTCAGTTTCCTGCCAGCTACTGGTCAAAGGCTGTTGTCAGCTTCTTGCCATTTGAATCTTCCCTAAATGGTCTCTTTCTTCCTCAGAGTCCACAAAGAAGGAGTCGTCATGCAATATCAATGTCATAGTCTTTTCTAACAGCAGTGTATGTTTATTCATTTATTGTATGCATATATGCCGGACATTTGCATGTGATGGCTTCTATGTAGAGGTCAGAGGACAACATAAGGGAATCTCAGGGACTGAAGTTGAGTCATCAGCAAATGCCTTTGTCTACTGAGTTATCTCACTGTCATAATAATGTATAGTTAATCACATATATTCTGTCGTCTTTAGAAAATTCTAATCCCACCCATTAAATTCTGGGTACCACCATTCATAGATTCAAGTCTTGTACTCAATAGAAATAACCTGAGTGCCAGAATTCTTCTGCTTCTTAATGGTAGATGCAATGTGACCACTGTTTAAAGCGCCTTAGGCCTAACCTGCCATGATGAACGGTAGTCTTGAACCATCAATATAGCCCTCCTTCCTTAGGTTGCTTTTGTTACAGTATTCTGCAACAGAACAGAAAAAGTAAATAATTCAAGGACTGAAGATAGAGATGTCTTCCAAAGCAATTTTGGCCTAGAGCATAGTAGAATAAACATAATCTATCCTATTCTTTGCCAAGAGTTGCAGTGTCTTGTTGAGATTGGGTAAGAGGCATCAGTGAAGCTTTTCAGGCCACTGGTCCACAATCAGACAGGTTCTTCATCTGGTCATAGTTGCATAAGTGTCTTTCTTCATTGATCTTGGTGGCAACTGTTGGCAGGGGACAATTTTTAATTGAGATTGTTAGGTTCTGAGAGAAATTCTGTAAGCTTATTGAGAAAGCGGGGAGACTAAAGGTATGCAAGAGAATCAAGGAGAGAGTGGGTACCAACAAAGAAAGAAATGTTAAAAACATCTTTCTGCAAAGAAGAAGGAAAATCTCTTTTTTAACAGTTAAGATATCTAACTCCTTTTAAGTTTGGAAACCTACTTCTTATAGTTAATTTGTTTTGTTTTCAAGGATGACAATACTCTGTGCAATTCCATCTATGTTGTTAGAGAGGTCTTTTTATATGTTCAGGTCATTTGAGGGGGAGGTGGCAAGTTCACCCACAGTTGTATTTACTCCAATCCTACTGGTAGAAGAATCAGCTGTACAACTCATTTTATTCTTGACAGTGGACATGAGGAGTACCTGGACCTCAAGCACCATCTGGGTAGTTATTGGTTCCCAGGTGGGTAAACTGGAAAACAGAGTCTGGATTGGATCATTTAAAGAAGCTTTGAGGACTTGGATTGTTCTAGCTGGCATGCATTTGGTTAAACTTGTGATTTAAAAACCATAGAAGCTGGGTTGGGAAGGTGGATCACCGAGTAAGTTCTTGCTGTAGACATGTGAGGACTTGGATGAGAATCTCCAGAACATATACAAATCCAGACAGGGTGCATCTCTAATCCTAGCATCCCTATAGGGAGACAAGAAGTCGAGACATGAAAATACTCAGAAGCTTGTGAGGCAATAGACTGGGATGATAGTGGGAGAAAAGACCACATCTCAAACACGGTGGCAGGTGAGGGTCAATGGCCAGGATTGTCCTCTGACTTCCACATGTGCACACAGCATGTGCATGCCTACATTCACATATACTATGAGCATACAACACATATACATGAACACGTACACACATGTACACTCACACAAAGTATTTTTTACTAATCAGGTTATTTATGTACACCTACCAAGAGGAGTGGCTTCCTAGAACTTAGGGTGGAATCTAAGGCTTGAATGTACATTTTTAAAGGATTTACATATTTACAAGGATGTTGGGTCTCTCACAGAGGTAGGAGACAAATGACTCTGTAGTGGGCAAAGAAAGGCTACGATAAATTTGTCTCCTCACTTTTAACAATTTAGCTTTCTCCGTAGCAGTCAATCAGCTTTGGAGAAATGGAATGCTTACATGGTTTGGTTTTTGTTAGTTTGTTTGTTTGTTTGTTTGTTTCTGGAAACTCCAAGTCACCATTCTCTATTGGCCAAGCATCACATTTTGGGGGTATGGAGGGGAACATGGTGTTTTATGTCACACAGTGGTAGTAAAGTTCATTCCTATAATTTAATACAGGTAAAGTTGAACAGACAAAAATCTCAGGAAAAAGAACTACTTGGTAGATGTATTAAGTAAGAAATCCTCAAGTTACAATTCAGGTTTGATTTTTTTCCCCTTTTCTTTCTGCCCTCAGTCTCTGATAAAACAAGCAACTGTGGGATTGGGAGGCGCTGGGAGGAGCAGGGGAGGAGGGGAGGAGGGGAGGGAGAGCGAGCTGGGATTGACATGTGAATCAAGCTTGTTTCTAATTTAAATAAAAAATAAATAAAAAACACAAGCAACTGTGACATATAATAGGAATACAATACCTAAGGTTAAAAGAATACGGCCTAAATCCTTGATCTCCTGAATATCCTAAGGAATTTATCCATCTGAAAATCCTTAATCTCCTGTACAAGTCCATTTTGCAGTGTGAGTGTGTAGAACATGTGTTGTTCCAGGGATCGTGGCTGTATCTTTGACAGCTGTTGCCCAGCTGTCAATGGATTTGACTATGGTGTGCTCTTGTAACCACTGATCTACGGAGAAGGGAAGAGAAAGGCACCCACAGGTACGAGTGTAAAATTACCTGCCACATGCAAAAAGACAGAGAAGGAAGAAGAGAAGCTTTAATGTTGTTTGAAGAGATCGGGGTGACTTTTAAAGAGAAGATAAATGATTTAGATGAGAAGACAGGTACATATCAAGTAGAACAGCATAAGCAGAGACATCAAGGCATTTGCTGGACTTTGGTGTGTGATGCTATGGGGTCCAGTAAACACTTGGCAGTGTGGTGGGAAATCAAGCAGAAGGTGATGAAATAGGGCTATGTTGTGAATAACACCTAATGAGGAACCCAGTCTTAGAACATAACAGAGAGGAACTCTTGCTTTCTGAACTGAGGAATTTAAGATTAGGATATACGTCTAGGCAATAGATTATTACAGACAGATGGAGACAAAAAAGAATGAGAAGATTATGAGGCTTAGGGAAGATATTTTGAGAACTGAAGTATTAAATTTGCTAGTAATTCTTACACACTGGATCAATCATGGTTTGAGGTTCATTAGGACCTTGTAGAATTTGTAACAGAAT